TGCAATGTGAACACATGAATTAGGGTTGAAATCACGATCACCCTGGATGCTTTTCTCCATATAATGATGCCCCCCATCCTTCCTCAGCTCATCAAAGGCTTGTGAGAGGGAGTGTGCTGGGGGAGGGGACAGGGGCTGCGTGTGTTTAGAGACACACATTTTGAAAAAAGCTGCATCCGTGATTCTAATAAGGCTCCCCCACCCCATTGGGAACAATGCACTACTGCCCCATAATAGACATCTTTTCAAAACCATTCCTAATAATTTTCTCAGAAAACCTTTATTTTACAAATAGTAAATGTACTGATCATTTTCAAAACCAGATTAGAGCAAATGAAAACTGACTGTACTTCCAAAAATTAGATAAATTTGGTGAAAAAAAGCATAACACATACTTGTCTGTACAAGGTTAGTCTTTACAACTTCTTTTGAATTATATACTGTAACATAAGAACCTTGAATTCAAAAGAACCTATGGAATGCAGCCAGAGTGGAGTCGTCTTTTTACTCCTGGATGGATTTATTGTCCTGGCTGAATGAGAAGATTAAATGATTATGTGATAGGTGCCAAAGCTCAGGACTTTAGAGAGGGATGGGGCTCAATTTTTGATGAAACACAATTTGACCTCAACTACTGTTATAAGTGAGAGAAGAAAATTACAGTATTATGATTGTGAACTCCCAGTTTTTAATTAAAGTATAAGTTACTGAGAATTAGTAAAATAGCTGGTACAATAGAAACAAAATTAAGTTTATGAACAAATTATGTTTCTAGGACTAAATAAAATTAGGAAAGAGGCTACTAATATTTCAGGTAGCATTTCCCAAACTGTTCTGGAAAATCAGCTCATATCCCAAGGAGATGCTAATACTACTCCGTGGACAACGCCAAAGGGTTCGGTTTTGTTTCATTCTTAAGTAGCTTCAAAGTTTCATCTTAGTGTGTTTTTAAAGTGCATCTGCAACTGTGGACTATGTGGTNTTTTATTTCGCTCTTAAGTAGCTTTAAAGTTTCATCTTAGCATGTTTTAAAGTGCATCTGCAATTGTAAACTATGTAGTGCTCACAGAACTTACTGAATAATTTTCAGCAGCATCATGACACTGTTACGTTTGCTTAAGTATAAACCTGACTGTGGTTATGTTTATAAAACTTCACCAATCTCACTTTTTCTGCTTTTTCTTATATAGGATCAATACAGTGTCTTGGAGGTATATTTATATATCTATATACATATGTAACTAAATTTAATATATCTATAAAATTAAAACCTCAGTTGAACAAATTTTATCCACGAAGAAATCAGCCTTGAGAAGTTGTTCCTTAACCCTGGATTGGTGCATTTTTCCTGGAAGAAGTGAATTTTAAAACAGAAATACTGCAGGAAAAACAGAACAGGGGAAATATGACCAATTCCAATTAAGTGTAAAGGCAGANAGAACAGGGGAAATCTGAGCAAATCCAACTAAGTGTAAAGGCAGATGCCCTGGGCCAGTGGGGGCCGAGCTGGTCCTCCTGCCAAGAGCAGCTTGCAGAGTAGCACATGTGGTTTTAGGCCTTTATCTCATAAAGAAACACTTTTTTTGAGAAAGAGTCAATGAGAAGCACCTCTCCTTGCATTTTGTTCAACAACGTCTCAGCCACAGTATTTCCTCAGGTAAAGATGAATACTTTTGGGGGGAAATTTATATTTGCTCACTGGCTTTCCCGTCTTCCATGTTCTCAGATTAAAATGGAAATTGAAATCAGTAATAATTGATACCAGTTTCTTAACCTGATCATGGAAAAGAACAATCAAATGAGCTCACACATGGGTAGGACGCCTGTAGCATAAGGTGTCTGTCACTGAGCCCGGGCAGCCTATTTTACTCACCATTGCACACTGATTCTCGTCTCGGGCTGGCAAATTGTGCTGTTGTCTAAAAATATTGTTGAGCATGAGCTATATTTTTCTCTAAGGTGATCTGGAAATACCTAAAGGGGAAGGGGAATAGAAGAAAACATCACAGTAAGTTAAACTTAGAAAAGTGTTTATTCTTGGTTAAAATATCAAACATGAAAGCTCAGGGGGTGTAAACAGCCTGACCTGTGATATGCTAGGGCAGGAAAGGTCACCCTGGGGCGAGGTCCCCATCTCCAGGAACAAAAGCGTTCTACCCTGGTGACAAACCTGGCCTGTCGCTCCGACTCTGTTCATCTCTGCCTAACTGCCTACTGTATCGGTGCTGCTGTATTTTTATAAACTAATTCAGATGAGCCTTCCTTTCTCATATTATTATAAAGCAGCTTTCAGCATGCGGTCACACTTTCCCATCAGGATCTCCCACAAATACACAAAGACAGGACAGGGAGAACATCTAGCTGATATCTGTTAAAATGCAGAGCATTTAAAAACTGCCACTAGCCAATAATCAGAAATATCTTTATATTATCTAAAGCACAATTTTGCCAGTTTCAGATGTTTTACTTCAAACCACTTATTGCTCATTAGCCTAAAGTTCCAGAGGGCATAATTTGAAAAGAATCACTCTTTGGAGGAATAAATTCTTTCAAGCTACAAATATTTTAACTATAGCTAACACTCTGATATGTTCCCTAAGCTATGCAGTTAACCTGTAATTTACTTTTGGGATCTCAAAAAGACAAATACGGCATGAAATGTGAAAACTCATTGGAATACTTTTATTCTAAATGGAAGGTTATCTTTTAAGAGCACTGCTATACAAGTGTAATATGGCATATAAAATACCAAAATAATTTATAACCAAATCCTATATATACGAGAGTAAAAAGAAGAGGGGGGAAATGTACCAAAATATAGACTAGTTGGTCAAACTTTGGGTGATATTTGCTCACATTTTCCACTAGTTAAAATTTTTTTCTACTATAAATGTATATTGTTCTGTATTTGAAAATATTAGTGCTGAAACATTGAAAATTTTTAATTAGGCATGGGCTCACAGCTCTATGGGGTTCATTTAGTAAATCAGCAACTTACAGTCTACTGGTCTCATCCAACCAAAGGAGCACTGAACACTCTGCCATCAGTCCAGGCCTCCTCCCAACTATTCAGACTTCCCAGGATCCAGTATCTACTATCCCCCAGAGGGGGCAGAATTAAGCCTCCTAGCAAAGCCTGGGTATATTGGCTGCCAGGTTACTTTCCCCTCACCTTGCTTGAAAATTTGAAACAATTGTTCTTCGTGGTTAAAACCTTACTATTGATGGCTTACAACCTCAATAAACTACAGTGACAAAGATAAAGATAAAAAATGCAAATACAAAGAAAACAAAAGCACCAAAATACTACGGAAAACTTAGTGTTCACAGGTATCTGAACCCCTGGTGGGTCACTAGAATGGACAGAGACAAAAATCCTGCTGTATCTTCCTTCACTCGGCACAAATGGCAGGACAGATGGACTTTTACAATCTTTACAAGAAAGGGAAGAAGTTACTTAGTAGACTTAAAGTTCAATAGCAAAGACTAGACAAATAATTAGCCTAGAAGTCTAAGGAGTGACAACCCCAACCTTACTACCAAGTCAAGTACCTTNGTGAAAACTCATTGGAATACTTTTATTCTAAATGGAAGGTTATCTTTTAAGAGCACTGCTATACAAGTGTAATATGGCATATAAAATACCAAAATAATTTATAACCAAATCCTATATATACGAGAGTAAAAAGAAGAGGGGGGAAATGTACCAAAATATAGACTAGTTGGTCAAACTTTGGGTGATATTTGCTCACATTTTCCACTAGTTAAAATTTTTTTCTACTAGAAATGTATATTGTTCTGTATTTGAAAATATTAGTGCTGAAACATTGAAAATTTTTAATTAGGCATGGGCTCACAGCTCTATGGGGTTCATTTAGTAAATCAGCAACTTACAGTCTACTGGTCTCATCCAACCAAAGGAGCACTGAACACTCTGCCATCAGTCCAGGCCTCCTCCCAACTATTCAGACTTCCCAGGATCCAGTATCTACTATCCCCCAGAGGGGGCAGAATTAAGCCTCCTAGCAAAGCCTGGGTATATTGGCTGCCAGGTTACTTTCCCCTCACCTTGCTTGAAAATTTGAAACAATTGTTCTTCGTGGTTAAAACCTTACTATTGATGGCTTACAACCTCAATAAACTACAGTGACAAAGNCCTCAAAGAACTACAGTGACAAAGATAAAGATAAAAAATGCAAATACAAAGAAAACAAAAGCACCAAAATACTACGGAAAACTTAGTGTTCACAGGTATCTGAACCCCTGGTGGGTCACTAGAATGGACAGAGACAAAAATCCTGCTGTATCTTCCTTCACTCGGCACAAATGGCAGGACAGATGGACTTTTACAATCTTTACAAGAAAGGGAAGGGGTTACTTAGTAGACTTAAAGTTCAATAGCAAAGACTAGACAAATAATTAGCCTAGAAGTCTAAGGAGTGACAACCCCAACCTTACTACCAAGTCAAGTACCTTTTGAAATCCTGCCCCCGCCCATTGTGCCCACTGTCTCATCTTAATCCATTAAAAAAAATAGCTGAAGTTTACTGTTTTCTCTCTACTTTTTCACAAGACACATTTTGGATATTAAGAATTAATGACTTTTTATTAATTTGAAAATTTCTAGCACTTTATGCATTAATGAAAACTGCTCCATGTATGTTGCACATAAATGGGACAATACAGCAAAGTGCATGGTTTGAATAGAATTCTTAACCAAGATTATAGTAGGAAAATGTAGTATGCTAAGAATAGAATAGCCAAAAATATTCTCTGGATTAGTATTAATTTTATTAAATTAAAACTTTAAACTTTGGTTTTAAATATAGGTTCTAAGTTTGAGTTAGAACCTACACATTTGAGATTTGTGGACTCACCACAAATCTATTTCCACTCCCCTTCCTTTCAGAGACATGTCCTGAGAATTAAAGGCATAAAGAAAGCCATACACACTATAAGAACAAAGGGGAGGAAGCACAGCCTTGGTGCCCACAGAGAGTGGCTAGAACAGGGGTAAGGAAGCCAGTGTGTCTTACAGAACCCAAGGGAGGCTCAGAATCCGCCCCAAATTCTTGCAGTGCAGCCCTGTCAGTTGCGAAACTTCTGCTCACTCCTAGTGCTTCCAGTTAGATAGCAACAGGCGGTCAGGGACCATCACACATCTGAGGGACGCCAACAAGTAGGACAGATCAAAACAGATGGTGACTATGAACAAGACAGGTAACAGCAAGTGTGGGAGAGGCTGTGGAGACAAAGGAACCCTCGTTCGCTGCTGGTGGAAACATAACCTGGTCCAGCCACCATGGAAAACAGTAGGGAGTGTCCTCAAAAATTAAGAATAGAGCTACCATATGACCCAGCAACCCCCCTTCTGGTTATATACCTGAGAAATTTGAAAACATTCATTTGCAGAAATATATGCACCCCTTTGCTCATTGCAGCATTATCCCCAGTGGCCAAGGCACGGGAGGAAACAAAGTGTCCTCCAGTGAAGGTCTGGGTGAAGCAGCTGTGGGCACACACAGCGGGACAGCTCTCGGCCGCCAGCAGAGGGAAGCACTGCCACTGCGACAACACGGGGATCACGATGCTCAGCTAGACGAGGCAGCCAGAGAAAGCGAAGAGCCCCATGATTTCACTCACGTGCGGGATATAAAACGAAAACCCACAGACACAGACAACAGCACGGCGGCTGCCAGAGGGAAGGGGTGTGGGGGTGGTGAAGGGCAAGGGGCCCAGATATATGCTGAGGGAAGGTGACTTGGCTTTGGGGGCTGGGCACACAGTGCAATATACCGATCATGTATCACAGACATGCACACTTGAAACCTATGTGACCCGATTAACCAACGTCCCCCCAATGAATTTAACTAAAAACATCTGAACTCATAAACAAAAGTTGAAAACATTTCCTAAAATCTACATGCTAAGAACATCACTTTTTCTAGTGATTACTTTAATAAAGCAACGTAGAACCTATGGTATCAGCAAATGAGTTGTCCTATGTAAAATAAAACTATTGCATAAAAGGAAAAGAAAATTAATGGGATTGGTAAAATTCAGGAGCAAGTGAAAAACGTAAAAAAGTAATTCTTAACCTCAGAAAGGCAAAAAATGGCCTTGGTAAAAGAACGAAATGCCTTAGGAAAAGAAAGACAGGATGTAAGAGACACGGTACACTAAACACAAGATGGACAAAACAGAGAATTATGAAAGGGCTGGGGCATAAAGGCAAGGAAATCTCCAGAAGGTAGAAAAAGACAAAATGGGAAATAAGAAGGGGAAGAACTTAGAGACTCCTGCAGGAATCCTGGCCTGAGAGTTCCAACTTCTGAGTAATGGGAATACCAGAAAAAAGGAATAGAGTATATATGAAAGAATCAAAAACAATACCCTGAAAGCAGATCAGACCTGCAGCCTTGATGGCCACAATAAAATGGAAAAGTGCATACCAAAGCACATTATAAATTCCAGAATCCCAGGAATAGAGAGGTTCTAAAAGTTTCCAGGGAAGAAAGGGATGGGGAAATTACTAAAATTGGTAATACATAATGTATCATCCAATGTCAACCGATTTAAGAGCAACTGTGGTGAGTAAAGAGTAGAAATGTTTTTAGAACAGAAAAAATTAATTTCAATCTAGAATTCTACACTCTATTAAACAGGAAGCATTTCAGAGAGGCTAGATCTCTAAAAAATTCCTGTCCATGTATCCTTTCCCTGGAAAAAGTGCTCCAGTAAAACAAGGGAGTGTAACAAGAAAGAGGAAAACATACCACCTAGGACAGCGATTTTCAACCAGTGTAAGCGCAGGACACTGTGGTGCCACAAGAATTTTTAAAACATGCAATACCTGACTATTCAGGCAGAGACACTAATCTCTTTTCCCTGAGATTATCAAATAAACAATGAAAACAGCCATCACAACAGTAGATGTCCAGTGTGAGTTAATCAAAATTATACCTATTTGTTTTGTCAGGTTGGCAAAAAATATATTTTTTGGTGTGCCACAGAATTTTATTTTAGTTTTTAAAAATATATCTTGCCCAGCCAGGTGCGGCTCAGTGGCTCAGGAGATCGGGGTTCGATCCTGGTCAGGGCACATGCCCAGGTTGGGGGCTGCAGCTGATCAATAACTCTCTCATCATTGATGTCTCTGAGAGAGGAAGGGAGAGGGAGAGAGAGAGAGAAACATCAATGATGAGTCATTGATCGGCTGCCTGCTGCACGCCCCCGGCTGGAGATCGAGCCCGCAACCCGGGCATGTGCCCTGACCGGGAATCGAACCCTGATCTTCGGGATCGTAGGTCGATGCTCAACCGCTGAGGCACGCTGGCTGGGCCCACAGAATTTTNACTGAGGCACGCTGGTTGGGCCCACAGAATTTTAGTAATTAGTTTATGTGTGCCGTGAGATGGAAAAGGTTGAAAATCACTGATCTAAGACATAGGGGACCCCACACAAGAGAACAGTTATGTGGGCTCCCAGGTGACTTTAAAGAAATATGCCACAAAACAGACACAGAGCAGGCCTTGGGAAAGCAAGTCTCTACTAGACTAGGATAACAAGAGGGGGGAGATTGCTTCCAATAAAACATGGAACTCTGTTTAGGAAATGGAAAATATTTTTGACAGCCCTGTGACAAATGTTACAGAATTTTGGGAAAAAATATTTGTTAGAAAACAAGAAGTGAATATAATCAAAAAATTAATTGCACACTCACAAAAGTGAAAATTTACTAGGTATGATGTTAATGTAGCATAAATGTAGTATTTCTGTCTGATAGCCATCTTTCTCTGCCAAATTACTAGATTGTTAGGAACAAAAAAATTTATTTTGAAAGCAGGGAGACCAGCCTACTTGCTGCATCTGGCTGTGTGAGGTCATGGTGACTAGGAAGAAGGGGTTGGGATTGTCCTGGAGAAGTGCTCAGGTTTCAGTCACATAGGGGTCCCAAAACTGTATACACACTGTAACAGCTGGTAACACACTCAATTTCCACTGCTTTCCAGGTTTAACTGATTTGAAGTAATGGGGGAAGACAGACTAAGCTTTGAGCAGAGAAAACTTACCCTACCAGACTTTCTTCTATGGGGATTCATAAAAGATAAAGTTTACGGTACACAACCAGCAACAGTCAACAAATTGAGGGCCCAAAATAAGGCACAAAATAATTCTTGCTGTTTGTGATTCCACTGCTTTGCCTTATCATCTGTGCCTGGACCAGAACGGTCATAGTTTGAAATCAAGCAGTGACCAAAAAGTTATATCTTTCTGTAGATTCCTTCAAATTCTGAAACTGAACTGTATGTTACTAAACACTGACTTTATAATCATTCAAAGTGCATACACATCTTTAGGGAAACCCTGTATTTGAGAAAAAGAATGAAGGGTATACAAGGAAGAGGCACAGCCACAGAACTATATGGCTCAGCAGGAAAAAATATTTATACAATATAATAATGTAAACATTGATTCTGATTTTATAAAAAACATGTTACATGTTGAGAGGGCAGAGGGAGGGAAAGAAGGCCATGCTGGAGTTGAGAAAGCTAAGCTTTGAGTTGCTATGACAATAAGTCAATAAATAGTGCTAAAAATTGACTTAGCTAGTATATTGTTTATTTTGTAAAAAACAAGATTAAAAGTTAAGGCAAAAATTTAAGGCAGATCTTTATATCACAAACATGTTATTGAAATTTAACTTAAAGGTCGGAAACCCTTAAAAGGTGGGGATCACTAAGCCTGAATATGTAAGTTTGATAATTAAGATAACAGAAGTGATTTAGAAAATCTATCAAAAAAGGGCCACGCTGATGACACTGGGTCCATCATAAACTTCAAAAAATCATGGCGGACAATTTTTAATTCCGATTATTAATTTCTTACTTAACTTTTCAAGTGTTTACTTACGTGGTGTGAACAGCTCTTCCTCCTCTTTCCTCGCACTAAGAATAAAAAGAATAAGTGATCAATGCAGATACATATGCTGCAGGGAAACAAAAGTTATGATTCCCTGACAGATACCAACATGCAAAATAAGACAAATTTCACTCCATTTTTTTTTTTATCACTTCCCCAAAATTTATAATTTAAATCCCCTGGCAAGATGAGTGCCATAAAGTAAAACTTTGACCTATGTTTTACTGTTTTGACCTAAGAGATATTCTGTATTAGGTATAAATCAAAGCCGCTCCATGTACTGAAGAAAAGGCAAAGCTAATTAGGCCGGGTGAGAGTCAGCTACTGAACAAGTTTAACTGNCCATAAAGTAGAATCTTTAAACTCAGTTTGACTGTTCTGACCTAAGATATTCTGTATTGGTACAAATCAAAGTCGCTCCATGTACTGAAGAAAAGGCAAAGCTAATTAGGCCGGGTGAGAATCAGCTAATGAACAAGTTTAACTGCTGCATCTCTGAGCCACTGCTCAGCCCTGGTTCCTAATTCTGCATTTACACCCACTTTACGTGAGTCACCAGCATCTAGCAGTTGACGGCTCCAAGAACCAGTTTCTGGCCAGGCCCCTGGAAGCATCCTGCACCACTGACTGGTAACCACCTGGAATATCTTACAAAGGATCCCATCTAGTTTAAATTGTAAAATGAGTGTGGCTAACCTAACTAAACACCTACAATGCACAAAACTGTTTTGCTCTAACAAAGATCAGAAGAAAACTAAAAGCCCCANTGGTAACCACCTGGAATATCCTGCAAAGGATCCCATCTAGTTTAAATTGTAAAATGAGTGTGGCTAACCTAACTAAACACCTACAACACAAAATTGTTTTGCTCTCAAAAAGATATGAAAAAACCCAAAAGCTCCAAGAGGGTCCTGGGCTGCACTTTGTGCCCCCCGCTGCCTCCTGGAAGGTGGGGGGGCATCACAGGCACCTTCCTAGGACTGAAGGCAGCTTTTCCTTTACTGTCTCCCCCTCTCTACATGAGAGCAGCCCATGGTCCCAGAAGAAACCGAAATACAGCAATCCTACCGAAAACGATCAGCTCCAGAAAGTCAAAATGCACACGTACCATGAAAAGGCATGTTAAAAAGCCCCACTGTTACTGTGCTGCGTTAATTCAGATCCACTGGAGCCTGCCCTTCTCCTGCCTCTGCTGTCTAATCAACTGAAAAGCTTAACCTGTGAGCCTTTTTAAGCAAGAAAACATGATTTAACATAACAGTTAGGAAAATAAGCAGGCAAGCAGGGTGATAAAATCCTACAGTTCTGACTCTTTTCCTAAAACAAACAGGGCACAGGAAGCTGACACTAGTTTCCCTGCTGATGCTGAGCTTCTGGGGCCCCCCGCAGGCCTGTCTGCTCTGATGCCCCCGGGCAGCCCTGCAGCAGGTGAGGGAGCTGGGAGGAGCTGGAAAGTTCTAGATGTGGGGAGGATGGAGCATTTGGTTGAGTGCTATGTAAAATAAAGGCAAAATCACAAATTCAATCCTCATACATAAACAACTGATTTTTTTTTTTATTTCTTCAAATAAAAACCTAACTGTGCCCTAAATCCTATCTTGACTTACCATCCATTTGATATTTCTTTAGGAAAATTGTTCTTTCCCTTGGATGGTCGGAAGGGATTAACTGTAAATACCACTCTGTATAGGAAGAAGAGAAATAAGCATACTGATTTAGTTGAGTAGAAAAATAGATAATTTAAAAAATAGCTATACATCAATTTTAATCACTTAAAACGGTGTTGGAAAGAGTTAAGTAATGGAAGGAAGACAATTTTAGTAAAGGCAACAATATAAAAACTCTACTGGGGAAATTAAAAATTGCAGGATCTTTCTATACATGAGGAATAAAACAAGCTATGTCTTAGACTTTTTTTAACTTGCACCTAAATAATCGATGAATCATATATGTGCTTTCCCCCTCCTACTTATCAATCAGAAATACCATCCTTCTCTTTTATGCTGATATGACTAGCGAATTCCAGAAACAGTCTCAAGAAGCAAGTTATGCTGTGGCCAATTAGTGTCAGATACCCANTCAGATACCAGCTAATACATCAAATAGGCCCAAATCAAGTGAGCTGCTTTTGGAAAATGTTCTTTACACACGTAGGCTGATTCTAACTCCATTCAGATAATGAACTTACTTAGTCAGCTGAGGCTTACTTGGGGCTGTTCATCGTGGCGCATTTTAAAGGACAGCATAAGAGCTCAGTGCTCTAATCTACAGGAACACTTTCACGACGGTGAATTTTTATACTTTCGTCAAAGTGATTTTTTAATTCTGCCCTCAATTTCCAAAGCTAAACTCTGACTTCTTCCTTCCATGCCCCATGATTAATTTGGGGCTTCAATAAGAATTCTTTCTCGACCTGATCATAGGGCTGCTTGCAAACAGGAAATCTGCTGTGAACACATAAAGTAGGTCCCCTGCAGCGCACCTTGCACCGAGGTGGGATAATCTTCTACTTAGGCAAAAATACCAAACACGTACTTGAATTTTAATAACACAATGTTCCCCACTAAATGCAATAAAAAGTTGTCATTTACAAAACAAACTATATGATATGCCTTAGTAATGTCCACCTCAAACCATTTAACCAATATTGTAAGAAAGGAGACCAAGATCCTGATAGAATAATGGTGAAGGCAACATTCCCCAAATGACATAATAATGGTCCTATTTTGTTTGTTTGTTTTGTTTTGAAGTATATCTTTATTGATTACAGAGAGGGGAAAGGAGAAGGAGAGAGAGAGATAGAAACATCAATGATGAGTCATTGATCGGCTGCCTCTTGCAAGCCCCCGAATGGGGATCGAGCCCGCAACCCGGGCACGTGCCCTGACCAGGAATCGGACCCCGATTGCCTGGATCCTAGGTCGACGCTCAACTGCTGAACGATGGCCGGCCGGGCTGGTCCTGTTTTTTAAAAGGGCATTTGGAGCTCAGATATAAATAGACTATAGCCCTGGTTCTTGGAGAATCAAAATGCTCACTGATATGTTAAAACTATAGTAATGAATAAAGTCTAACATCATGTCCAAATGTATTTACCTAGAAGACTTTCCCCTCCGAGTAACACAGTTAGAATGTTGCCCAAACATCATTCGGGACTGGCTGGTTAGCAGACATCTGAGCCGTCTGCTTTGACAGTCCCGTCAGCAGAGAAATTAAATAACTGAGCCAATTGTCTTGTTCTTCAAGGAAGTTCCTTCCCTGAATTTCAAGTTTATTAAATTGCCTTTGGAGACACTATTCTACTCAATATTTTGCTGTGAAAAACTCATAAAATTATTTTAAAGGATTTCCCCCACATATTTGAAATATGAGACCATGTGAGCAATTTGGAAAAATAAAGTAACTCAGGTGTGCACAAAGTGAGAGGGAGAGACTATCAGACTAGCCCTAACCTCTGGCTCCTGAGAGAATTCAACACTATTTCCTACCAAAAATAAAGCAAATACACTGAATTTGAATAAAAACTAACAGCATATGTTTGCAGAAGTTGCCATGTTATGTATTGGGGCCTATGGCATGATAAAGTTTAATTAAAAATTTCATTGGAAAGCCCAGGAAAAGTATGTACTTGAATCAAAGCAGCAGCGGGCTTACACACACACACACACACACACACACTCTCTCTCTCTCTCTCTCTCTCTCTCTCTCTCTCTCATACACACACCACAAAAGAAGATGTGCTGCTATGGCTCAAAATATACAAATCAAGAAGGCTGAAATAAAAGAAAGGACAACATTCAGAAAAAAAATTAGTTCAAGTAACAAACACAAAGCTGAAGCTTCCCCTACCCTACACCCAGTTCTAGGGCAGGCACATGCCCCAGGGCTGGCCGATCAATCCCAGCTGGTCTGGCACCTCCCAAGAACCTCAGAGAAAGGCAGAGCTGACCTCTAGGAGCCTTAGGGCCTCTGGAGCTCTGGGCATTGACTTTACCAGCATGAGGAGGAAGCCTTTTCAGGAGAAATCCACAGGAGCAGAACTGAGACAAGTTCTGAGAAGCTCACTTCAGTCCTGAATCAAGGAGTACCTTGGATTTTGCTCTGTGAACTTTGGTCATACAAGTCCATGGTTTTAAACAATCTTTTGAATCTCCTTAGAAAAGCTCTTTAAAATAAAATGACTAGACCAAAAGGTTTGATTGTTTTTATGGCATAATACATACAACTAATTTGCTTTCTAAAACAGGTGAGGGCACACTAGAGTATAATGCCACCAAGCATGCCAGTTTTAGCTTCCACCCCAGCTTTAATACTTAAAGAAATCCTAGTTATGTGAATGAGGAGCCTCACAGTGTCTCTAATTTGCATTTGATTATATGGTTTGACCACAGTTAACAGTGTTATTTCTACCTTGGTGAGTTGCCTTTTGTTTACAGGTACTGTATGTATTGTGCCCACGAGAACCCTAAGGTTATTAATTTGCATGAGCCTTTCATAAAATATTTTCTGTTTATAGCCTCCAACAATTTTATATATATATAACTTCCACTTTTTGCTAATGACAAATACTGCATCACTATTTTATAGTGTGGTTTTAAGCAGCATTTTTCAGAAAGACATTGATTTCAATTTATTCCAATTAAATAGAAATGTCAGAAGTTTCTAGGCCAACTGCTGGGCACCTGTT